TGTGTTGGGGGTGTGGACAGTAGGTGGGTGTTACGTGGTTGCAGACTGAGTTCCCTGAGAGGTGCAGGCAAACAAGGGAATGGAGTGATGGACAGTGACCACTGTGGGCTCCCCGGCCCTTCCAAGCCCCCTTCTCATTTTGTTTTCATGATGTTGCCTACCAGGGTGCGCTGAGGAGCCAACACCTGGTGGAATAGCATTTGCTTCTCTGTTCACCGAAGTGCACTTGAATATGTTTCTTCTGGAGCTCTCTTCGATAGCCAAGTGGGGTTAATAGAAGACAGGCTGGGTTTTTTACCTTTCACTTAGCAAATTTGAGGCACTCAATGAGTCTTAACTAATAATTAAAATTCTTCTTGCATTCTGGTGACCAGACGGAGTTTCTTATTTCCTTGACTTCAGGTCATGAAAGCAGGTGGGGGTCTTGTGGGAGCTGGGGTGATATTTCTTCTCTGATCACGCCAGGGTTGGTTCACACTGGGAAGAAGGGCTTGGAGGTAATTCCTTGGTAAGATGGACTGCTTATTGGTTAAAAGGATTCACAACCTCTGGAGCGTCTGAAATGTCAGAAGTGTTCAGATCGAAGATTTTGATGTTATTGTGCTGAAGCATTTGCTTGGTGAACACAGACCAAGCCTCTTTATGGCAAGGTTTTATGAAGCACTTGTTTCTGGAAGCTTCTTTGAATCACAGTGCTTCTCATGGCTGACTGTTCTAGAACCTGTATGTGTAGAACCTGTGTCCTGCCAGGACCGACATTGCTCGCAGTTGTGTGAAATGGGAAAGTCACCCTGACGCCTCACTTCACGTTCTTGTGACATTGGCCTTTGTTATGTTTATAGGAAATGGTGGGGAGCAGATTCAAGGCAGGCGCTGAGGTGGGATTCATGTTACTATCTCCGGAGTCCGCCATGACCTGGGTCCAAAGTCCCTGGTACATAATGCTTGTCCAACATTTACCAGATGTAACCCAGTGAAATTATTCTGTTATTTGTTTTTCTTTTCTAGCAGAAAATGCACCCCTGCCCCACTGGTATGCTTCAGTTGGTCAGTTGCCCAGGTGATAGTCCCTGTCCTGTTCCAGTTCCTGTTGCTCCTGTCTCTTAGAAACGGCTGGCCACTGTGACACATAGCTGGTCGCCGTGATGCACATTGTATAAACCAGTCCCCACTGACAAACCATTCTATCTCTGGACTTCCTGCTTGCTTATCCCATATAAGCCCTAGACCACCAGAGATCAGGGCCTGATATTCTAGAAAGATTCTGCCCATTGAAATAAATAAATCTGCCTCCAGATGCTGGGTATTGTTTTTGTGTTTCTGCTTGCTGTTGCAGTTTGAGATGTCAGTTTGAAATCATAAGTCTATAGTTTTGGGCATCGTAATACTGTGTGTGTGCGCATACATTTTTAGAGACACCTGAATTGGCTTTTCTTGGAGCTATCTTATCTACTCCAGAGTGTTTGTATGTGAGGTCATAGAACCCAGGTCCAGCATTTGGCCTCTGGCCTTTCTCTGCCCTGCTCTGCCCTACAAATGCAAAGGCTATCTCGCCCTTTTGGGTAGTCAGAGTCGTCAGTCATTTCTAGCATGCATTACTTACTGAGTCACTGAGATAGATATCTTTTTCAAAAAATTTAGAAGGTTCAACTTTGTAGACCAAATGTTCTCTTTCAAAAGCAGAGTAGAAATGAGTGGAATCTTTATAAACTCTATGCTTTTTGGTGTCTCATTTCTTAAGGCGCTGATAGGAAGCTACTCAGGCTAATAGGAAGATGAAAAATTTAGGGGCAGAGATTACCTGAAATACTAGATTTTTTTCCTTATCCTCTCAACATCTTGAGTTCCGAGCTACTCCAGGCAGTCAGCACCTTGTGATCCAGGGCACGTAACTTTCTGGGCTGACGGTTTTTTAGTGGAGCTCCTTTTGACTGCCTAGATGGGGTCTTCTTGGTAGAACAGGTTTTGTGAGACTTGACCTGTTGCTTGCTTTGCAGCTGTGTGAATTCAGCTCGGTAGAATTTCCTGATGGCTGAAAGAAGGCTGTGAGTGGCTTACCCTGCATGGTGCCGCCAAGGTTAAGTAATTTATGGAATATGTTTAGAATTAGGGTTGGGCTTGACCCCTGGGAGATATTATGGTTTAACCTATAACTTTAAGAATTTTATTGTACTGGTTTGCAGTACCTCATGATTGCAGTCACCACGGGGAGCCGGTACGTGCACATAACACACCTTGGTCTGATTTGCCCCTGGGTGTAGGCAGGTTCTACACCTACAACCAGAGGGTCTGCTTTCCTGGGGTGCCAGTGCATCCTGCCAGCTCCCTCGATCCTGCACCAGAGCTCACACAGTTAGCTAAAAGCAGGAGGCGGTGTTTGCTCTGTGTATGAGAAACAAACCGGGTTGAGACCCATTCCTGACTTACTCCTTGACTGTGTATGTTCACTTCCTACCCAGAAAAGAATCACAGCTGGGTTTAAAACAAAGAATAGAATGTGGCTGTCACTGAGTTTCAGAAAACCAATTTTAGTAACTCAGATTTCAGGTTTGTAAACCAGCGGGTCTTGAAATCTCTGGGGATTGCTATATCGAATTTCACACTGTGGGTGTCAGGCGGTGGCACCCCTCTGCCAAGCTCACTGTGTGTGCTGCCTTCACGCTCTGCCTTCCGGGCTGAAATTTCCTGGCTTGGGGCATGGGTTTCTCTACAGAACTGGGAGAAGATCCTGACTACAGGTCTATCAGGTTCCCTATTTCTTTACTCAGCCTAATGCACCAAAATGTACCTTAAACTCTCAGAGCTGACATTACATTTCATAGAAACAGTTTGTGCATACTGGCTGATTAAAAACTCAGCAGCTGATTCATCACTAATGTGTAAATTATCAATGGCTGTTTATTTATTGCTTTTTTATTTTAAAGAGGCTAAAACAGAATAAAGCCAATTAAAACAAACCAGTGCGAAAGATACAGGACTTCAGAACATTATAAAATCAACAATAGTTACCATAATGCCTTTTGATGTCTTCAGAATAGCTGCAGATAACAATAAAAATCAAACAGAACAGAACAGAATAGAAACAATAAAAACAAAACAATGAATGCAATAAAGACTTCAAAACAAGCCAATAATAGTAAATCCAAAATTGCTACCATAATATATCTTGCTGTCTTTGAAAGAGCTGCTCATACCATTGGATTTGACGTAATCAAAACAAAAGAGAATAAAACCCAACCCAACCAAACAATGGGAATGATACAGGCCCTCAAAGCAAGACCATAGGGAATCAACAATGGCTACAACCCTCAAAAGGAGATCCCCCGCCGCCCAGCTGCCGCAAGCCACACTGTGTACCACTGTCTTCGGAACTCATGATTAGGTCATTGGTCCTAGGCCTGCAGGGTTAGTGAAACACCAAACACCACAGGCATCCAATTGCATCTCACCTCCCTAGCTGTCATCACAGCCTGTGCTTCTCTGGTCGCTTACAGCGGAGGGTGGTGGTGGTGGTTGGTTGATATTCCTTGGGGCTCGGTTCTGGCTGTTCCAGTCCAGCAGCCTGCTTTTGTTGAAAGCATTTTGCTATACATAATTTGCCACTACTTCTGAGGGGAGAAATCAAGTTGAATAGGCCCGCTGTCTAAAGTGGAGTATGACCAAAAGACAGTTGTGTTTTTGAAGACTTGTAAGGGAAATCTTTCTCGGGTAACTTTAAGACCTTCCTTGAAAACAGGAACAGTGCTTTCAGTTGTCTTTCAGTGTATTGTTTTTTTAATTCTTCCAGCTGCTAAAGCTATGCCGTTTGGGAAATTAACTCAGAGTGGCGAGATACAATGCTTTCTACCCAACACTTAATTTTTAAATAAGATTTGTTTATTTTTAAATAAATGTGGGCTGTTTCACTCTCAGGGATCATGATCCTAAGGAGGGTAATTAATCAACAGCATATTTTCTGTCCAAAATGGTTGATTTTTGGAGGGAACAAAAAAGAGCTGATTGACGAGGGCTCTACGGTTCCACCAGGAAGTGGCCTGATTTGGGCCGGAACCAGCTGGCTCTCCTGGACTTTGCATCCTCCACTGGGGACCAGCAAGGCACTGTCCCTCTGCTGAGCTTTTCTTACTTGAGGGGACCCACTGGGATTGTGGAGGATGACTTTGACTGTGCTTTGTCGATGAAAAGCCACCGAGTTTGGCTTTACAATGGGGCCTTGTGTGAGCCGGAGATACTTGCAAAGTAGTCAGTCCCCATCAGCCGTGCTGGCCCGCTAGATACCGAGCAGTCAGAGCTGCTCGTGGCCGGTAATGAGATGGAGCAAACCCGAGTCGGTGCACCTGTGGTCCCAGCCATGATAAATGTGCTTTGCACAGGGTCAGAGCTTGAGAGTGTGGTGTGCAAACTTGTGATTTGTGCTCTGTGGTTTCTCCAGAATGAAGTTCTAAAATTGCGAAGCTTTTCCCTAGCTGCCCTGTAAGAGGAGGGTGGCTGTCACTGCAGGGTGTGCAGAAGTGTCCAGTACTTGGTGTTCCCATCGGACCTGGGGAGGTGGGGAAGAAACAGGTGCTGGACCACCTTTGTGCCCTGGGCCCGCGGCTCTAAATCGTGATCTTGGCTTCTTAGTCCCTCAGTGTGCTGCCCCGGGAAGTTTTACGGCTGAGTTATTTTTATTTATCGTTTTATGTTTTTCTTTCTTCTTTTTTCCTGTGTATTGGGGATTGAGCCCAGGGTCTTGCGTTGAACCACACTAACCCCCTCTTTTGAAATTAATTAAATTTTGAGACAGGGTCTCCCCAAGTTGCCCAGGCAAGCCTCAGATATGCCCTCCACCTGCCTGGGCCTTCCGAGGGACTGGGATTTCAGGCCTGGGCACGCTGCCTAGCTCCTGGTTGGGTGTCTGGTGGTGGCAGAGTGGCTGCACACGCGTGTGCCCGCGGCTCTGCCCCTGCCTGCGGTGACCTGCAGTAACCCGCCTGGTCTTGTCTTGTGCTCACTTGCAGAACGCCACGATGGGAGGCAAGCTTAGCAAGAAGAAGAAGGGCTACAATGTGAACGACGACAAAGCCAAGGACAAGGACAAGAAGGCCGAGGGCGCGGGCGCCGAGGAGGAGGGGACCCCGAAGGAGAGCGCGCCCCCCGCGGCGGCAGCCGATGGCACAGAGTCCCAGGAGCCCGAGAAGCCCGACAAGGACAAGGATAAGGACGCCGAGAAGGACGCCGAGGGCAAGGCCGAGGCCAAGGAGGGCGACCAGGCAGCAGCTGCGCCCAAGGAGGAGGCGCCTAAGGCGGAGCCCGAGAAGAGCAGCGAGGGCGCAGCCGAGGGGCAAGCGGAGCCTGGGGCCGCGGCGGCCGAGCAGGAGCCCGCGGAGCCCGGGCCCGCTGCGGGCGGCGAGGCCCCCAAGGCGGCCGAGGCAGGCGCCTCCGAGAGCCAAGAGGAAGGGGAACCCAAAAAGACTGAGGCTCCCGCCGCCGCCCAGGAGACGAAAAGTGACGGGGCCCCGGCTTCAGACTCAAAACCCAGCAACGCCGAGGCCGCCCCCTCCTCCAAGGAGCCCCCCGCAGCCACGGAAGCGCCCAGTTCCACAGCCAAGGCCCCCGCGGAGGAGCCCAAGGCCGCCGAGGTCCCCGCAGCCAAGCCCGACCAAACCGTAGCGGCCAAGGAGTAGCTGGACAGCCTGGGGACGCACCACCGAGAAACAATCTCTCTCTCTCTCTCTCTCTCTCTCTCTCTCTCTCCCCCCTTCCCCCCTCCTCTCTCTCTCTCTCTCTCTCTCTCTCTCTCTCTCTCTCTCTCTCTCTCTCTCTCTCCTATACTAACTGGTTTCCAATTGGAAGTAAGGATGTGTATTGCCCAAGGGGGAATAAAAAAGGATGCTAACCCATCTAGGGAGGGAGGGAGGGGGTGGGGAGAATCCAAATAGTATTTTTGTGGGGAAATATCTAATATACCTTCAGTCACCTTGACCACCACGTCCCGGATTGGAAAGATCAGTGTCCACGCACCGAGTCCGCTCTGCTCCGCTGCACCCCAGGCCCGGCCGGCCGTGCCCCCTTTCCTGGCCCAGGAAGGGAGGCAGGGAGGCGGGAGGGAGGGATGGGTTCTACCCGCAGGGCTTGTGCTGAGGCCGTCGAGAAGCTTCACGAAAGCAGTATTTTCTGTGTCCTCCTTTTTAATTTACAGCCTTTCTTATTTTGATATTTTTTTAATGTCGTGGATGAATGCCAACTTTCAGAGGAGCCCACTTAGCCTGTCCACATGTATTCGATGCCAGCCCCCCGCCATTGTTCCTCTCCAGATATTTTTGGGAGTAAACAAGCATTCTCTCATCGTACTTAGCCTACCTAGATTTCTCATGACGAGTTAATGCATGTCTGTGGTTGGGTGCACCTGTAGTTCTGTTTATTGGTCAGTGGAAATGAAAAAAAAATAAGTCTGCGTTCACTGCAGTTCACTTTCTCTTCATTCTGTGTCATAGACACCAACTCACCACTCATTGGAAAATGAAAAAAATAAAAATACAAAAAAAATGTACAATGGATGCATTGAAATTATATGTAATTGTATAAATGGTGCAACAGTAATAAAGTTAAAACAATTAAAAAGAAAGAGGACGCTGGGTTTTCTTTTCTAGTGCCCTTTGTCACCCATCCCTAACCTTAGAGACCAGAGCGCTGAATGGCTCTTTGTCTTTCCTAATCTGTTTGGAGGCGGGTACCAGGCAGGAGCCTCAAATTTGCGAAGCGATGCCTTTCTGCCAGGATTCTCTGAGCAGCCTACAGTCCGAGATGCTGCCCGCAGGAAACAACTGGAGAGGGAGAAATGGTGAACCCGGGTATTAGGCAAGTAGACCTTTGGGGTTCGCTTCATGTTCCTGGTCACTTTTTGGTAGGGCTCTTGTTTCTATAGTGAAATAAATTTGGACTTTGAATGCTTGAAAGCACAGCACACAAGAACTATAAACACATTAGCCACCAAGCAACCGATTTAGGTAAGAAAAATAGCAAGGGAATGTCCACTTGCTCACCAGCGTGTCCAAAAATATGTACAAGCGCTTGGAGGAGGGGCTCAGGTGGCGGAGAGGAAGAGTCAATAAACCGTGGAGGACTTTTGTATAGTGCTAAGTCTTGTTCCTGAAATTTAAATATTTAAATTTAAAAATTGAAATTTATTTTAACTGACAATTACTACTTTTCATTGCTACGCTTCTTTTTTTGCAGAAAAATGTGCTTAGCAGAAGTGATACCGTAACTCCACCATCTTTTTAGTTAAAAAATAAAATGTTCATTAGGTTCATTGGGGATTAGAACATAAAAATCAGCCCCCTAGGTTAGCGCTTATTACTATAAATCGCCAACTAGGAACAAAGTAAGGGGTTTTTTATCACTATACATAGAGTTACGGGGTAAGCTGCCGGTGATTGTTCAGCCAATCAAAGAGTATCAGAAAGGAGGTGGCCACAGTACTTAAACTGGAGCCCTAACTAAAGCCGCTGATCCTCCCTCTGAGGAAGAAGGTTGGGGAGGCAGTGGGACCCGCGTCCTGAGCAGGACGTGCTGCAGGCCTGTGGGCCTGGGCTACCAGGCACCGTGTTAATTTTGGATTAACCTAGACTGTTTCGCTTCCTGGATGGTTTAAAATGAGGGAGGGCACCGCAGGGGCTGTGCAAGCAGGCAGGTGAGCAGTGTCTGGAAACTTGTACCTACTGGCTCCCTAACTCAGCACGGCTGCTCTGAAAAGAATGAAGATTCCCAGGTCTGACATGCTGGGGATGGGTATGTGTATGTGCTTGCGCATACGTGCATGTGCGCGTGTGTGCATGTGTGCGTGTGCATGCACTGCCAGAAAGAAACAAAGAGGCATTGAAATGGATGTGTCCACGATTACCAGTTTCATCCCTCCACTTAGAAGGTCCTGTCCTTTAGCTGACACTGCCTTTGCTTGGAGATGAGCCCACTGGCCTGAGAACTGGGCTATGCCATGCATACTGGGGTGGCCTCGACTCTCAAGAAGGCCACCCATCCTCAACCCCTCTGGGCCATGGAGGCCGAAGCCAAATAGGTACAAGGCAAGAACGCTGTTCCCTGTTCCTACAGCGCCTCTGCCTTCTCAGTGGGACAAAAACCAAGTCTAGTGGACAGTAAGGACCCGGTTGTCCACTGTTGGCAGCTGCTACAGTTGGGTGAGTTGTTAGGTGCAGGCAAAGCCCAGAACTGCGGTGCTACACAGGGTTCTGCATGCATAAAGCACCCTGAAATTGAATTCTCACCAAATGAAACTTTATGGCACAGTGCAACAGGATTGTTACTGACACATAGACGCTAACAGGGTTTATTGTCCTTGCTGCCTCTTGAGACACCGATCTTACATTGTCCTTTTACAAAAAGAAAACTTGGACATGCACTGAATTTCAGCCCTTTCATTCATGGAAGAAAAACATCTAGAATGCTTGTATTCTGGTGTTGGCCGACCTCTTATGCTTGAGTAGTGCTAGGCTCCATGCTTCTGATTTCTGTTCTGCAGAGGAATTATTCTGAGCTGTCTTTTCAGTAATTTGCACTATTTAAAACCCAGATGCTCCAGGGGTGATCTTAAAAATAAACCAAACAGCGTCTCGCCCAGTAGCTGGGGGATTTATGATGATACGAGCTTTTACATGCATCTTTATGAAAGAAGGCAAGATTTGCTTGAGTTGTAGCTGACACTGTTTTATTCTGGCCGGCAGTTTATATTTCACACGTTTAACTCTTGGATAGCTCTGGCTAGGATGTCAGAGTATTTTTTTTTATTTATTTTTTACGCCACCCACTAATGGAAAAGTAAGAATAAAAAGGCAACGTAAGGTGATTTTCTCCGAAGGTATTCCAGGTTTTTGCTTTTTAAAATAAGCTCTTCTTTACCATAAAACTATGTCTTTCGCTTTTTAATGACAGAGATTTTTCTAGTATGTAAACTCTCAAAGTCCGGGAGCTGCAATGTTTTAATCTGTTTGTCCCAAGGTTTTTTTCAGTCTTCATTTTATAAACAAGGAATTTTTATTCTGAAGTTGAAGGCTGCTCTTCACACACCTATTCTTGGGGCTGGTGATTTAGCTCAGTGGCATAAGCACCTGCCTGGCAAGCGTGTGGTCATGAGTTCAATCCCTGGTACTGATTAAAAAAAAAAAGAATGTATTAGCACATACATGTTCTTAGTGGAATGTCTATTTGAAAATAATTGTGTTCTTCAAAGAAAAATCCTAGTAAAGTTGCACACATTAATTAACAGAAAAAAGTCAAATTAAAAAGTGTATGTTTTTATCTCCAAACCTGTGGCCTTCCTCTTTTCCTATTGTGTGAATATCACATTTGTTGCCTATTTTGTTTTCTTTGAAGGTAATCTTAGATTGCCAAAAAAATTCACTTTTAATATTCTTATAGGAAAATGTCAAATGACAAAAAAGGTGACAAGCACGGATTTGGAATCACTTAGACAACGTTCGTATTTGCTTTTTTTTTTTTTTTACATGATTTTTGCTTATATTGCCCAGGATTAAGAGACTAAGAGAAAGTAGTTCTCAATGAACATTCCTTTTTGGGAGGATTCCCATCGAGTGTGTGTGTGTGTGTGTGTGTGTGTGTACCAGGGATCAAACTGACAACCTCATGCTTACCAGGTAGGTACTTGTGCCGCTGAGCTAAATCCCTGGTCCTGGAGAATTCCCATTTTAAGTATCATTTTTATACATATTTCCCTCATCTTTAAGCAGAGTTTCAGATGATGACATTGTTAATCCAAAGCCTTCCCTGGACTCCTGGGGATAGAAATGTATATTAAAGCTTAAAAGAAAATTATTTTCTAAAATTTATATAGATATTTAAAAAAATCTGAAAGACCAAGTTTTGAAGGCTAGAAGGAAATGATCATGATTGGCATTTTCGCTGCCTTTTGGCTTTTCAAGCAGAAAATATGTGTGCAGAGGTACCAAAGCATGTTGACGGGCAGTACCGCTAAATCCTCGGTGTCAATGGAATTACAGTCTTGAAGAACCCAACAAGCAGAAAGGCAGGCACAGCACTCAAGCTCAAAGAAGAAAAGCATCTGTTTTACCTTGGGGAAAATACAGAGTTCACTGATAACACACTTTGATTAACAAAAAGGACCTTCAACAAAAGAAAAGGAAAAAATAAATCCTTCAACCTTTCCTCTAAAAAGAAAGCAACCCTTTTAATGCAAAAAAAGACTACATTTCAGGACTTTGCTGACAGAAATGGTTTTAGTTTTGCCAAGAAAAGGGGATGACACGTCCATGACACTGGCCTCTGGCACAGGTCTGAGGCCCCAGACCTGACAGGTGAGCCCCATGAATGAAGGACCCCACGGTCCGTCCGTGGTGGAGGTGAATGATTTCTGTCCTGTTCTGCTGCACAGCCAGCCAAGAATAGCGCTCACGCTGGGGCGGAACCACCCACCGAGGGCCCAAGTCTGACTAGTATGCAAATTACCCAGCGGGGAGTTTGCTTTTGCTTTAAATTTAATTTTTTTAAAACTGTGAATAATAGAGACTATATTTTTCTTGCTATTTGGTGCCTTCACTTTCAGATAGAAAATCTCAGGAGCTGAAACTGGCTTGCTGTTCAGAGCAAATGCTACCATTTTGAAGCAACACACACACACACACACACACACACTCACATTCACACACCCAACTCAGAAATGACATAAAAGTCGAACTGTACAGTAAATATCAAAAAAAAGTTGCTTATGTTTCTGATGCCAGTCAGCGCTTTATGATCTGCTTTTTGTCTTTTATTTCTTTCTTTTCTCACAGGGCTCCCCTCACATTTTATCTTTCCCATCAAGGCCCCTACTTCTGCATTTTGTTTTCGCTCTGCTGATTATTTTCCATTCTTTCTGCCTCCTGCCTTCCCCCAACTCCAGCCTGAGGCAGATGCTCACATTGGGCCAGAAGCACCTTCAATGAATAGTTCTTAATACTTCTGAAGTGTCCTGTTCCTTTTGACTTTGCATGAAAAGAGTGCAAGCTCAGATCTAAGATAATGTGCGGTAGTCTTTGACACAGTGCGTCTGTTCAAAGAGAGTCTAGAAGGTTCTATGGGAGCTCTATTTCAGAAGGCCGGGTCATGATTTCTCAGATAATCTGGCTACATAAGAATTTTCTTGGATGTTGAGATAAAGAGTTCCAGCTCCCAGGCTGTGGTCCTAATTTGGTAATGCTTCTGGAAGGTGGGGGCAGAGGGTGTCTGAAGCCCCTTTGGGAATCAGTCAGCGTGTGTAAATCTCCCGAGTTGGTAACTGAAGAGGCTTGGATTAGAATCTGGATTTGGTTGACTGTTCTATGATTTTAAGTAAATTACTTGATGTTTCTGAGGCTCTGTTACTTGATTAGGCAAAAACCTGGGATTGTAACAGCAGACTTGTTGGGGGTATTTCCCATGAGACCCGGAAGTAACTGGCTCATGGGTTCCACACCTGTAGATTCAATCAGCCTTGGACTGAAAATATTAAAAAAAAATTTCACTTGTACTGAACAGGTACAGACTTTTCTCATCACTAGTGACTAAACAAAGTAATATGACAACCATTTACATAGCTATTACATTCTATTA